TGGTGGTAATGGTGGTGATGTTGCGACAGTGATGGGACTGATGCTGGTCCTAGTCATGCTGGTGGGAATGACATTTCTCTGGCGAGTCCGAGTCTCGGCTAATTGTGGAGTGGTCAAGCAAGTTCCACAAACTCTCTCCCAACACCTAACTCGCCACAGCCTCATCTCTCCCGCTTTAACGTAAAACTACGCTGCATGGGGCCTCCACTGATGTCACGCTCTTCAGTGTATGTATGTTGAACTTCTCCCGCACCGTACATACCCAACCGTGCTAATCAGAGGTGCGGGGCGGAAGGACAACAAGCTAAACACAAAACTGTGGGTCCAAGCGAACAACTGATAGAGGGTTTTTTTGCTCCGCATTTACAAGGTCCTCAACTTTATCAGGATGCAAGCCATCTCAAGTTTGCAGTCGACGGCCTGTGTCCATACTGCATGAGCGGGGGGGGGGGGGGGTAAATGCATCAAAGTTCACAACCTGTGACTCCAGAGGGACACTTGATATACATTGGGCTGTTAACATGGCTGGGAAGAGACTCAAGTACAAGACGAGGTCATTGCACTGAAATACACAGCTGGCTACCTGCCCACTGATTGCATACAATCTGCACCGACATTTTCCATTCACCATTTGCGATAATAAAGGGGGATTTCTCTGCCGTACACGGCATACAGAACTTTGTTGGGCATCTCACTCCATCGCAGGTGCAATATCATTTCTCAGACGTTTCAAACGTTGCACGGCGAATATTTAGATTCCTGCTCATTGTGGTACTGGTTTCGTGCCGCCACGAGTCAATCTCGCGCCACCCATTGGGCAAGCTCACACATTGCCCGTGTTGGGTTATGCACACCATCTAGCCAGACATCAACCCTTCTCTGAACCATACATTGTATTTTACCTGCAGGTTTTCACAGCCAATTATAATGCAAATGTGGTCTTCCGAAGATGCCCGCAGTAGCGCGTGGTGAAGGCTTGAGAGAAAAGCTCAACTCGTGATCTGACCTCGAAGACCACACGTAAAATACACTATCCTAGCAGACCTTAGCCTAACTGTAATCACACCAGCCAACAAGACCCTAGCACTACTCATACCCGAACAAACTAGCCAAAACAACCCCTAGTTCTAACCTTTGCCCCACTAACTAATATGATCATAATACTCCCGCAAGGCAACCAAGGTCAAAGCCTGAATCTAAACAAATGACCGCAGCCGTCTTCTCCCGACCCCTTCTCGAAAGAGGTGCACGATGAGTACCTCATGTCAGCCCGTCCCCCCTTAATTGCAAACCCCAACCTCAGCCTTGGTGCTTAACCCAATCTGCTCAAATCATTCTTGAAGTTCACAGTGCCTCTTGGTCACGTCTTCATAACACACAGCCCTGCCCCCCACAATCTGTAAGTGGCACAGATTAGGCCATGGGGGCGCAGTTGCAGGGAACGCCAATGGTCGTTTGAGGGTGTCTGTGATCGCTCGCTGGCTGGAGGGAGTTAACATGGATGGGGTTTTTGACGAGTTCGTTTTCTTTTTTTAGCCCTGGTATATGAATTCAGCCGTGTGCCTGTAAAGCTAAACAGGGGGATCTTTGTTTCGCTTGTGCGTGTGAGTGTCATTGGGCCCCCTTATGGTTGGTATCGCCTTTCCCCAAATCTCACACCGACTGTCCTCGTTGTAGCAGGCAGCAGGCATCTCAACGTCAAGCTCTTCGAATGTGTTTTCTTGTTGTACCGCATGTCTGACGTGAGTTCAGCTCCCAGCACGTGGAGCAAATTGTGCGGAACACCACGCGGTAGCCACCCGACACCTCGGAGAGCCGCGCCGCACAGCGCAGTCGTCCATTGGCGTCGTGCGCTCGCTTACTGGGGGAACAGATTGGGGCTGGTGAGAGCATACTTGTATCACCGACGTGTTTCACAAGATAACCCTCCCAACCTCATCCTCCTACCATGTTCTTAGGATTGTATGACTCACGCCACGAAGTCAGAAGCACCCCAAACTTGTGTGCGGTGTCAATAGTTACACAAATCTGGTCTCCCACACCCCCCCCCCCCCCCAATCTTGCTTTAAAATACAGGAGGGGGGAAATGGATCTTATGATCTGAGGAAGATGGTGCCCCATCCACCGTTGGTTTATGTAATGCCCTACCCCATCCTGTGGCACATGTCACGGAGCCCACGTTGGCTTGTAATACCCAACCCAGCATGTCGCATGCATCGCTTACCCAAGGGCTGAAGCCGAGGAACCTCCTACACCCCCAACCCTCCCACATCCCTGCCCCCCAGACTACCAAATCACCCACTCACTCACCCCCCCAATCCCCTGACACCGAAACCCCCACAGCACCCCTCCCCTTGGCCCACTCCCACCACCCTCCCCCCGTCCTGTGCAGCCGCAACACTCGCGCTACCCTGCCCCATGTATGATCATGTTTGTGCAGAACAGACTTTGTAGTAGATTTTATGTAACTCTATGTACAAAATTGTAAGGTTAAAATATGAATAAACTGCTCATTTGTACAAACCTCTTATGAGTAAAGTTGTTTTTGCATTACATTTGGCACACACCCACCACTAGGATCCTTGAATGCTTTGAGATGTCATTTTATAGTGTTGGGGAAAAACCCCGAGGTGTGCAGCTCTGCATTTGCATGTTCACAAATGCTGCCTGAAGGGCCTCCAGTCCCCTTTGATGGGCTCTAGACAGTATTTTGGCCGACTCCTTCTTGCAGGCCAGATGTCTTGGAAGAGCCGACATTTCTCACACTTTCGCCCACCACGTGCAACCAGTCGTTCAACAAACTAGAGGGCAGTTTATGCTGCTGGGTGGACATAAAATGGGCACACCATTCATTGAAGGTGGGTGGGGCTTTTTCTATTTTAATCTTACACCATTGTTTCAACTACCATGCTCGATTGAACCGGCAACCTCTGCTTTAGATGTGGTTGTTTAGATTGGTCACCCTCGTGAGAGTCTGGAATTTCAACCACTCGCCTGGAGATCCACCACAAAGGACCGAGCCGATGCTGCACTGCACATTCGAGCAGGGAAACAACTTTGGAGGCCTGTGCAGTAATTGGAAATGCACGCGTGGTGTCGTCTGCTATGTAACCAGGTGAGCGTCTAAAACAAACCTTGAGCCATGCTCTTATCAGTACAACCTTGGGTGGCAAATGCTAACAATGATTTTATCGGAGAATTGTACCTCTAGATCACAAGTATGATAGGAAGGTCACTGGTAGCTTTGTACGGGAAACCAGTTGATAAAAACAGTACTATAGTATACTTGCAAGAAAATGTTTGGGGGGGGGCAGAGAAATGAAACATCCAAACAATACAAAAATAAAAATTCAGTGTGCATATAAAACATCGGGTATTGTACGCCGATGTTTCTGCAAATGGTGCCTTTGAGAAGTGTTTGCGACAGCAGGTGGCACAAACCACAACCCCCATTTGGCTCATGGGCTCAACGAGATTTCTTCCAAAGCCATGTACACAAGACGTCGGCATGTCACTCCAGATTCCTGTCTTTATTATTAACTAGTTTTACATACATTGGTAACCAAACAACACTTAGTGTATGTTGTTATTACCGGACAGTTTAAACTGCTTAAGTATTCACTTTCATTGCATAGACTATCCTCCTAAAACGACCCTTTGCGCTTTGGCAATTGTCATCTAGAGTTGGACCTGCACAGGCAATGATCACAGTCGTCAAAGCCTGCAGGCACAACGTGGAAAGCGACGAGTGGCATTGATGAAACTTATGCAATCGAGGCCTTGGCGAGTGAAAAATTTGCACATCACCTTTAAAAAAAATCTCTTAATAGAGAAACTAGGCAATAATTTTTCGCCGGCTTACCGAGATAGGCCATTTCTGCATTAAATGATTTAGGCACATATCAAATCATCCCTGCAATGCATAAGCTCACAATACAAGCATCGGACCATGTGTGTGTGTGAGAAATCGGGCCGTTAAGATGTATAAGGTGTTTCAAAAAGATGGACCCGATTTTAAATCGCTATATCTCTGCAACCACGAACCGCCCATGAGTGAAACTCTTACCACTTGAAAGGGCGGGGCATAGAGAGGGCGGGACATAGAGTTTAAAATGATTACCGTGAGATGCCTCTCCCATGCCTCAAAAACAGAATCACGGCAGTGGTGACTTCAGTGGAAGAAGACACTTTGAGAGGCGTTTGGGACGAATTCAACTGTCGTCTCGATGTTGTCCGTACAGCAGGTGGAGGGCACAGAGCATTTATAAAATGGTTAGTAAAACTTGATAACGCAGTAAACCGTTTGCAACTTTGTGTAATTGTAACATGTTGCCATCGTGAAATATACTGTTTTGAAATTGGGTCCATATTTTTTTTAAACACCCTGTATTATGCACTCGTGCCTTTTCAAATAATAAGCGGTCAAGGCAACTTACCAGACCAAGGACAAAACCGCGCTGTAAATGAGACAAAAAAACATCATTGAATAGACCTCAGATCATGACAAGTCATCGAATCACCGAGGGGACGGATCGTCACATACCTAATGTTGTGTACGACATCTCAAGTTCCCTTAACGCGAGACATGCCGTCTCAAGGGCTCCTCAATGCAGAATACCCAGATGTGGCAGTGAAAATAAGACTTCTATCTCTGCTGGCAGTGCTCTGTTGACTCCCACCGAAGACACTCAGCTTGGTTGAAAGTGATAAATGGAGACCGATTTCCTGGCACCGAGTCGGAAGGTGCGGTTCATAAACACGCTGCCGCCCCGCGTTTACAAAGCTGATGAAGTGTCCACCATGGCACCGAGAAGAAATCACGACAATCACGTAAACGCGATACCTCACCAAAATGTCTACGTTTCATTTTGGTTTTCACTTGCTGCCGAGTGGATCAACCCCCAAGTTGGCTGCAAATGATCTTGAGTTGTAAGCGCTGAAGCGTTAACACAACCACGTAAACTTCATAACCGTGTTAAACATCACTGACATGCTTCAGAAAAGGGTCGCTCAGGATTTATAAAAAAATAAAATTCAGCCATTTTCATTTTCCCAAAACCCACGTTCATCTGTGATGCCACTGGAAAGAGGGAAAAATATAAAACCGGAAACATTTTGGAAAACAGCTTTTGATGATCTCTGCTATAAAGAGAAGGGCCACTGCCCAAAGTGTCACCTCTTATAAAATTACATTAAAACATTTATAGTTCAAATATTATTTCCTCTTTAGGGCAATGCTATTGACAAACGTGACGTCTTGTTATTTGTGCACCACTGCCAACAGTATCTCAACGAGGCGTGGTTGCTGAATTCAGTTTGTACCGATTTGAAGGCAAATATGCCACCAATTCTAAAGTGACACCGACTGCTCTCCAGATGTTTATCACCAACAGCCCTTTGTCAATCCACTGGTGGATAAAGGTCTTCTCACACCGTGTTCGTCGTGGAGAATGCTTAGACCATACCTCACTCCACTCATCAGTGCGGGTTGGGGGAGGCCCAGGGCCAGTTCACTTGTCTAGTTCTTCACCGATGTTAGTCGTGACCAGGAATGGAACGCCGTGGGCCAGGTTCAACGCTTGCACACAAACTGCTTTGCGTTCAGTTTGTTGTCCTTCTCCCGCACCTCCGATTACCACGATTGGCTAGGTATGGTGCGAAATAATGTCTACATACACACAAACTAGTACCACACCGTTTGGCCCCGTTCCTGGTTTTTCAACAGACTCTTATTTGCAGTTGATTAGAGATGACGTGGCAATGAACAGTTTGAAACATATCTCTACTCGCACAAGGCTGAGAATCATAAGACTCTCTTTCAAGAGGGACCTGCATTGGGATGTTTGACCAATTCCATTTGACAGCATTCATTGCAATGCTGTCGGACAGCGGAGTGCACAAGGAGAACCCACACACGCACACACCCACGAGGCGGAGCTCAGCACAGGTAAGGGGGCGGCAACTTGCTCTCTGCACTGCATCCTAGACACCACTTCACCGCGCGGTGGTTAGGAGCACACGAGCGCAAGAACTTCTCCGTGTCCAAGCCGCACGTCGCCCCACAGTGGGATGCTCGTGGCAGCAGTCACGCAACAACTTGGGGGTGTTTGGTATTAAATAAAAACGCTTGGACGGTGACGACGACGATGATGGTGACACAGCTGCAATGGAGCCACTCTCCACCCACGGCCGCGGACTCCACCCTCTATGTTTTCTTTGGCTCTTCACAGGACGCACGTGTACCAACGATCAAGCGCGTGTATGTACGTGCACGCACACCACGTGTCCACCGGCGAGGAAGGCGATGGGAAGCGATTCACAGTCCACTCCGTCCCCTACGGTCCACCCCTCCCACGTCCCAACGCACAGGGGCATGCCCAGGGCTCCAAGTTCCTGCACACCGAAAACGACGATGCTGGAGTGACATCGCAAGCCTCTGCCGACATCCTTACGCAAACCCACAACTTTTACAGCAACTCTGTAGCTGTTCAAAACCCCCACATCGTTTAATTAGTTGTGTCAACCCAACGCGCGCAACAGAGTTGATCAATACCAGAGATTTTTGTTTTGTTCAGCCACTGGTGACTGGGCCATGGACCATCCACTCGCTACTTTTGAGAACCCAGTTTAATGTTGCTGCTCCTCTCCGGGTTCTCCGTCTGTATAGATCTCATATGACCGACACATGGCAACCACTTTTCTTGGAGCTGCAAGTCTTGGAAAGGCCCATCTTTTGGACAAGTCTTATTTCGCTCAGCAGAGGAAGATCTCGCCATGTCAAGCAAAGGCCGGGGAAGATTACAAAATGGAAAGGATATGGGGGGCACCACCTCCTCTCAATTCTATTGAACAGGAAATGGGTGCCATGGTGGCGAGATGTTAACTACCTCGCCTGGTATACAGGAGGTCGTGGGTTTGATCCTGACCCTGATGCCTGGTATGTTTTTGCATGTTCTCCTCATGGTCGCGTAGATTTTTTCTCCGAGTCCTCCAGTTTTTCCCTCTACATTTATAATCACGCGGTTAGCGTATTTGTCTGCCATCACATTCATTGAGCATTCATTTGTGGCGAGGTCGTGTCTGAAACAGTGGACCTTACCTGGTAAAATAAATAATTGTTTAGTTTTAGTTCCTCACTTTGACTCGAGACTCGCTCCGTGTTACCTGGGGAGATGGTGGCGGCGCTGTCAGAGCCTCCTCTGTGCCAGCTGGAACCGCGACTCGTCCGAGATCCCGTACTGCTCCAGGGGATCCTAGACCACGGAGCACAAAGACCCCCCCACCCCCCCATACCGCCTCAACACACTGGGGGCCAGTGCTGCTAGGGAGCACCTATGATGGCTGGCACAGCACAAAGGGGTGAAATGTCCAACACCATGCCAGGCCACCTTTGTCTCCCCAGTGCTGAGATTTACACACCACACCAGGTACTCACTTCAGGCTGAGCAAACCAAGGGGACATTTCTGATGTTAGACGGACCTGAGAATCAGAATCGAACCGAGGTCACCAAGTTTATAGGCAAGGACATGCACCACTGCAGACAAGGACATGCACCACTGCAGACAAGGACATGAACCACTGCAGACAAGGACATGCACCACTGCTTCCTGACGCAGACGTGACCCCGCCAGTCGTATGCGAGCTGTAAATGCTGCGTGTACTATTGTGTGTACCCTGTGCCAATAAAAAAGGTGACACGTGTACTGTGAAACATTGTGCCGTATAAGAGGGGTTACCACAAAAAACGAGTGCACCAAATAACACCGTCCCACACGATGGTGTGGTACCACATGCACGTGTACTACAACACCGAACAGCGGTGTGGTACCACATGCACGTGTACTACAACACCGAACAGCAGTGTGGTACCACATGCACGTGTACTACAACACCGAACAGCGGTGTGGTACCACATGCACGTGTACTACAACACCGAGCAGCAGTGTGGTACCACATGCACGTGTACTACAACACCGTCCCACACGATGGTGTGGTATCACATGCACGTGTACTACAACAGCAGCGAGTGCCGAGTAGGAGTGCGGAGTGCCACCGTGTACCTTCCCCGTGCGCTGCCGGATCTCCTCCCGGAGGCCAATCGCCCTCCTCCTGATCCTCTCGTAGCTGCGCACAGAAACCCATCCGCGAGGATTTAACGCCTCACACCAAACCCCCCCCCCCAAACCACACTGGCGTCACGAGCGTTACACATGAAGGGAGTGCGTGCGACACGTGGAATAGTGTGTGTGGGTGGCGTGTGTGTGGGGTGTGCCCTGTATTGCGAGTGTTTGTATTGTGTGTGCGTGTTGTTTGTGTGGGTTGTGCCTTGTATTGCGAGTGTATGTATTTCGTGTGCGTGTGCGTGTTGTTTGTGTGTGTGCGTGCGTATTGTTTGTGCGTGTGCGTGTTGTTTGTGTGCGTGCGTGTTGTTCGTGTGCCCTGTATTGCGTGTGCGTGTTGTTTGTGCGTGTTGTTTGTGCGCGTGCGTGTTGTTTGTGCGCGTGCGTGTTGTTCGTGTGGGGTGTGCCCTGTATTGCGAGTGTATGTATTGTGTGTGTGCGTGTTGTTTGTGTGGAGCCCACACCTCGCTCTTGCCAGCAGCTTCATCCACTCGTCACACTCGGATATGGAGGAGCACTCAAAGCAGTAGCGCTGCTCCGTCCCACCCCGGTACACTACGAAGACAAAGATCACCCAGAGATCCTTCAAGATTCACTGTTGGCGGAAGTGCTGTCCGTGAGGAACTATTAAAATCCCAACGGCGCACACGAGATAGGTGGTTGGCCAGAACCACCCCCAGCCGAATTTGTCTCCCCCATGCCGCCGTTTACACACAGCACCGGGTGGCTGCACTCGTTTAAGGCCGAGTACACTTAGGGGAGGCTCAGGATTTGGTTCCAATACTCGTCAATGTTGGTTGTGAGCGGGAATCCAACTCGGGGCGCCGCCTTGCAGCTCTCCAAGTGCTCTCTCGCGTAACAGCTGTGGGAAGGACCTCCACTCGAGGTCGCTCTGGAGAGACCATCTCAAGGGTATTTAGCCTCGACTCTTCGGTTCTTTCAGTAAAGTCACGTAGGTAGAAAAAGTAAATAAAATAAATGGAAAAATTGTGTGTATTTATTTATGCCTACTCTTCCACGTTGGCCAGATGTCTTGGAAGCGGTGGGCGTACCCACACTTTACCCCACCGCACGCCACCTGTCAATTGACCTTGACCGTGGTGGTACCCATTTACTTTGAATTTACAAAACCTGCATCGGTGTTTCAACTTCCATGCCAGTGGATCGAACCAGCAACTTGAATGCAAGTCCAGTGTGCTATCCCTCACTGTATGGCAGGTAAGGAGATGGATATATGGATATATGAGAAAGTGTGAAAGAGGTAGATGGAGATGTACTAGAGGTGGTGTGAGGATGTGAATATAGGTGCTCGCGAACAGCACTTGCCCCTACAGTCTGTTAAGGCTATACGGTGGATCTTTGCCTTTGTTTTTGGCGGCGAATTGAGATGACTGTTGTTGACGAAGTGGTATTGAGGATAGAGTCTTGGAGGTGACGACGTGTGGAGGCGAGGGAAGCTGGGAGGTCGTGTACGGAGCCAAGGAGGCGGTGCGAGACGGACGCGAGTGGAGGTGGTGAGGAATAATCTCGAGGAAGAGGTGTGAAGAGGCGAGGAGGAGGAGGAGTGCTCACCGAGTGAGAAGCAGTGGGAATTGGGTAGCGAGTTTCGCTCCACCTCGCACTCCTCCAGGACCAGCGCTCCCACCGGCTGACACGTACAGACACACGAACACACAAACATCCCCCGTGTCGCCTCAACAGACTGTTGTGGCAAATGCTGTTAGCGAGCAGCACCTATGAAGGCCAGAAGAGCAAACGAGTGGGTAGGTGGCCAACACCACACCCAGCCGTCTTTGTCTCCACAGTGGCGGTATTTACATACTGCACCAGGTACTCGTTTGAGGCAGTCGACCTAGGGGAGGCCCAGGACTAGTTAAAATATTCACCGCCGATATTGGTCGTCGGCGGGAATGGAACTCTGGTCACTGGGTTTGTAGACCAGCGTGCTAACCGCTACACTACTGAGGTACATAGCAGTGAATGTGTAATGGTGGTGGTTGTGTATTTTGATGGATTGTAGTTGAGGTGGTTGTGGTGGTATGAGATGGGTCACCTCTGTCTCATCGACTCTGAAGTAGAATAGGAAATTCATCACCAACTTGATATTTCGCTCTTTGTATCCTGCAGTTTAACCACAGCGCAAAGCACACACAGAAAACACATAGCACAATAAAACAGGTATATATATCGCACCTAAAGGTGATCACAGCTCAAGACACTGGACAGGCAGTCAGTCCTAGGCAGAGGGCAAATAAGGAACTTGAACAAGGCATGAATAAGGGCAAGGAATCTGTGAGTCATCACTATGTCAGTCGATTCATCTCTTTAAATGACTGTGGGTATCTATGCGAGTCAAGCAGCAACACAACATTTGGTCATATTGAATAATTTTCATGAGAATTGCAGTCACAGTTGTCGGACAATAATCTCGGCACACATGGCTACATAATGAACTAAATAATTATCTCCAATGTGGTTTACGATTGTACTGAACTGGATTCAGTTACTGAAGCTCTCAGCAAATGGAGCAAGACGTCGGACATCATGCCGAACAACACGTGGTACAACCCGGCACCACATTGCTCCGATTTTTTTCTTCTTTCTTCCCGGACTTTATTTTCTTTGCTTTTGTCAATTTGGTGGCTCAGGTTACACTGGCAAATGGAACTCAACCAGGTGTCTTATGATCTCACCGAGTTTAACAATATAACCTTAACGTCCTAGAGATGTACAGCCCAACGACAGAAAAACCTACGCAGTAATTCAATTTGTTACATTTTCCATCCCAAAAAAATCCTACTTCCTGGAAACCATAATTTGTATGTTAGAGTTTTGATTTCCAGTGGACCCCCTCAATTTGCCCAAGGCAACCCAAACAAAACCAAGGATGAGAAAAACACCGAGGCTGATAAGACCTAGGATCATCATGAGATGGGATCATTACGGATTTCATGAGACCAGAATTTCACGTCAAGAAGTTGATGTCACGGGAGTGGGCGCCTGGTGGCGAGATGTCATCTACCTCGCCCAATGTGCAGGAGCCCGTGAGTTCATACTCGATCCTGACGCCTGTACATTTGGAGTTGGCATGTTCTCTCCCCATGGTGCATGGATTTCTCTCCGGGTCTTCCGGTTCTTCCCTCTACATTTAGAATCAACGTACGTTTAGTTATACATCTCCACGTGATAAGCCACTTCATTGTGCTATCAATTGTGGCCAGGTTGCTGCTGAGAAATAGCTATCTACCTCAGTGGGCCTGACCTGGTGAAATAAAAATGGTTTAGTTTATAGTGTGTTGATCAGAACAAGGTTGAAAAGTAAGAAGTTCGATGCAGGGATTTTCAATATTTTCCATGTCGCTGATAGACTTGACAAGTAGTGGCACATTGGTAGCCACAGCCATAGTGAGAGGTAGACACAAAAGCGCTCTCATTGATGGGGAATGGAGGGTGCCGGTTAATCAAATATGCTGGAACCTGAGAGTTATTATATTTGCGTAATACAAATGGAGTAACGTGGAGTTCGCTTTGCTGGTTAATGGAGTAACGTGGAGTTGGCTGTGCTGGTTAATGGAGTAACGTGGAGTTGGCTGTGCTGGTTAATGGAGTAACGTGGAGTTGGCTGTGCTGGTTAATGGAGTAACGTGGAGTTGGCTGTGCTGGTTAATGGAGTAACGTGGAGTTGGCTGTGCTGGTTAATGGAGTAACGTGGAGTTGGCTGTGCTGGTTAATGGAGTAACGTGGAGTTGGCTGTGCTGGTTAATGGAGTAACGTGGAGTTCGCTGTGCTGGTTAATGGAGTAACGTGGAGTTGGCTGTGCTGGTTAATGGAGTAACGTGGAGTTCGCTGTGCTGGTTAATGGAGTAACGTGGAGTTCGCGGTGCTGGTTAATGGAGTAACGTGGAGTTCGCGGTGCTGGTTAATGGAGTAACGTGGAGTTCGCTGTGCTGGTTAATGGAGTAACGTGGAGTTCGCAGTGCTGGTTAATGGAGTAACGTGGAGTTCGCGGTGCTGGTTAATGGAGTAACGTGGAGTTCGTAGTGCTGGTTAATGGAGTAACGTGGAGTTCGCTGTGCTGGTTAATGGAGTAACGTGGAGTTCGCTGTGCTGGTTAATGGAGTAACGTGGAGTTCGCAGTGCTGGTTAATGGAGTAACGTGGAGTTCGCGGTGCTGGTTAAGAGTAACGTGGAGTTCGCAGTGCTGGTTAATGGAGTAAAGTGCCGGGAGAACGGGGAGGAGTTCGCTAGACGACGATTTGACGAGACGAAGTTCGCCGAGAACGCACGGATCATTGTGCCCGGGTAGATCGAGGAGCTCATTTCTTGTCCTCAGAGTTCACGAGCCCAGACTTTGTTCTGAACAAAACTAAACTCCCAAGGAGGCACCTTTGGTTTGTCCAGAAGAAACTTGATGGAAAACCCAAACTTGTTACAAGTGGACACGGAGACCATTCCAATGTTAGTGCGGCTCGTGTTTAAAGGCCGACGGGATGGATGCTCGTTCTGAACAAGGGAACACGCGAGATGGAACAGAGACTTGGTCACAACTCGGGTTACTAAAATAGATTTTTATAATCGTTACTATAACCCCTAAAACGCCAAACAAAAACAGTTCGCAGACACAAATATAATTGTCTCGCGCAAAGACACGAACGCGTCTTAGATGTTAGACTGCGAAACTCAGGGAGCTGCCACCATTACACAAACAATGGCAGCGCTCTGGACTCCAGAGGTCGCCGGCTCGATGCGATCTCCCGGCGCGGCAGGGAATCGATGCAAGTTTACTCAAATGTCGCGCGTGGTGGTGGTGAAGTGCGGGCCAAGTCCTCTGTGCCCTCCTCTAGAGCCCCCTCGTGGCGTGAGCGAGCGAGGCAGCAGCACTACACTACACTATACACTACCACCTACACTATACACACACAACACTACTATACACTACACTATACACACACACACAACACTATACACTACACTATACACTACACTATACACACACACACAACACTACACACAACACTCAACAAACGGTGGTGGTTGTTGTTGTTGAGTGATGGTTGTTGTTGTTGAGTGGTGGTTGTTGTTGTTGAGTGATGGTGGTGGTTGTTGTTGTTGAGTGATGGTGGTGGTTGTTGTTGTTGAGTGATGGTGGTGGTTGTTGTTGTTGAGTGATGGTGGTGGTTGTTGTTGTTGAGTGATGGTGGTGGTTGTTGTTGTTGAGTGATGGTGGTGGTTGTTGTTGTTGAGTGATGGTGGTGGTTGTTGTTGCTGAGTGATGGTGGTGGTTGTTGTTGCTGAGTGATGGTGGTGGTTGTTGTTGCTGAGTGATGGTGGTGGTTGTTGTTGCTGAGTGATGGTGGTGGTTGTTGTTGCTGAGTGATGGTGGTGGTTGTTGTTGCTGAGTGATGGTGGTGGTTGTTGTTGCTGAGTGATGGTGGTGGTTGTTGTTGCTGAGTGATGGTGGTGGTTGTTGTTGCTGAGTGATGGTGGTGGTTGTTGTTGCTGAGTGATGGTGGTGGTTGTTGTTGCTGAGTGATGGTGGTGGTTGTTGTTGCTGAGTGATGGTGGTGGTTGTTGTTGCTGAGTGATGGTGGTGGTTGTTGTTGCTGAGTGATGGTGGTGGTTGTTGTTGCTGAGTGATGGTGGTGGTTGTTGTTGCTGAGTGATGGTGGTGGTTGTTGTTGCTGAGTGATGGTGGTGGTTGTTGTTGCCGAGTGATGGTGGTGGTTGTTGTTGCCGAGTGATGGTGGTGGTTGTTGTTGCCGAGTGATGGTGGTGGTTGTTGTTGCCGAGTGATGGTGGTGGTTGTTGTTGCCGAGTGATGGTGGTGGTTGTTGTTGCCGAGTGATGGTGGTGGTTGTTGTTGCCGAGTGATGGTGGTGGTTGTTGTTGCCGAGTGATGGTGGTGGTTGTTGTTGCCGAGTGATGGTGGTGGTTGTTGTTGCCGAGTGATGGTGGTGGTTGTTGTTGCCGAGTGATGGTGGTGGTTGTTGTTGCCGAGTGATGGTGGTGGTTGTTGTTGCCGAGTGATGGTGGTGGTTGTTGTTGCCGAGTGATGGTGGTGGTTGTTGTTGCCGAGTGATGGTGGTGGTTGTTGTTGCCGAGTGATGGTGGTGGTTGTTGTTGCCGAGTGATGGTGGTGGTTGTTGTTGCCGAGTGATGGTGGTGGTTGTTGTTGCCGAGTGATGGTGGTGGTTGTTGTTGCCGAGTGATGGTGGTGGTTGTTGTTGCCGAGTGATGGTGGTGGTTGTTGTTGCCGAGTGATGGTGGTGGTTGTTGTTGCCGAGTGATGGTGGTGGTTGTTGTTGCCGAGTGATGGTGTGGTGGTTGTTGTTGCCGAGTGATGGTGGTGGTTGTTGTTGCCGAGTGATGGTGGTGGTTGTTGTTGCCGAGTGATGGTGGTGGTTGTTGTTGCCGAGTGATGGTGGGGGTTGTTGTTGCCGAGTGATGGTGGTGGTTGTTGTTGCCGAGTGATGGTGGTGGTTGTTGTTGCCGAGTGATGGTGGTGGTTGTTGTTGCCGAGTGATGGTGGTGGTTGTTGTTGCCGAGTGATGTGGTGGTTGTTGTTGCCGAGTGATGGTGGTGGTTGTTGTTGCCGAGTGATGGTGGTGGTTGTTGTTGCCTGAGTGATGGTGGTGGTTGTTGTTGCCGAGTGATGGTGGTGGTTGTTGTTGCCGAGTGATGGTGGTGGTTGTTGTTGCCGAGTGATGGTGGTGGTTGTTGTTGCCGAGTGATGGTGGTGGTTGTTGTTGCCGAGTGATGGTGGTGGTTGTTGTTGCCGAGTGATGGTGGTGGTTGTTGTTGCCGAGTGATGGTGGTGGTTGTTGTTGCGAGTGATGGTGGTGGTTGTTGTTGCCGAGTGATGGTGGTGGTTGTTGTTGCCGAGTGATGGTGGTGGTTGTTGTTGCTGGGTGATGGTGGTGGTTGTTGTTGCTGAGTGATGGTGGTGGTTGTTGTTGCTGAGTGATGGTGGTGGTTGTTGTTGCTGAGTGATGGTGGTGGTTGTTGTTGCTGAGTGATGGTGGTGGTTGTTGTTGCTGAGTGATGGTGGTGGTTGTTGTTGCTGAGTGATGGTGGTGGTTGTTGTTGCTGAGTGATGGTGGTGGTTGTTGTTGCTGAGTGATGGTGGTGGTTGTTGTTGTTGAGTGATGGTGGTGGTTGTTGTTGTTGAGTGATGGTGGTGGTTGTTGTTGTTGAGTGATGGTGGTGGTTGTTGTTGTTGAGTGATGGTGGTGGTTGTTGTTGTTGAGTGATGGTGGTGGTTGTTGTTGTTGAGTGATGGTGGTGGTTGTTGTTGTTGAGTGATGGTGGTGGTTGTTGTTGTTGAGTGATGGTGGTGGTTGTTGTTGCTGAGTGATGGTGGTGGTTGTTGTTGCTGAGTGATGGTGGTGGTTGTTGTTGCTGAGTGATGGTGGTGGTTGTTGTTGCTGAGTGATGGTGGTGGTTGTTGTTGCTGAGTGATGGTGGTGGTTGTTGTTGCTGAGTGATGGTGGTGGTTGTTGTTGCTGAGTGATGGTGGTGGTTGTTGTTGCTGAGTGATGGTGGTGGTTGTTGTTGCTGAGTGATGGTGGTGGTTGTTGTTGCTGAGTGATGGTGGTGGTTGTTGTTGCTGAGTGATGGTGGTGGTTGTTGTTGCTGAGTGATGGTGGTGGTTGTTGTTGCTGAGTGATGGTGGTGGTTGTTGTTGCTGAGTGATGGTGGTGGTTGTTGTTGCTGAGTGATGGTGGTGGTTGTTGTTGCTGAGTGATGGTGGTGGTTGTTGTTGCTGAGTGATGGTGGTGGTTGTTGTTGCTGAGTGATGGTGGTGGTTGTGTTGCTGAGTGATGGTGGTGGTTGTTGTTGCCGAGTGATGGTGGTGGTTGTTGTTGCCGAGTGATGGTGGTGGTTGTTGTTGCCGAGTGATGGTGGTGGTTGTTGTTGCCGAGTGATGGTGGTGGTTGTTGTTGCCGAGTGATGGTGGTGGTTGTTGTTGCCGAGTGATGGTGGTGGTTGTTGTTGCCGAGTGATGGTGGTGGTTGTTGTTGCCGAGTGATGGTGGTGGTTGTTGTTGCCGAGTGATGGTGGTGGTTGTTGTTGCCGAGTGATGGTGGTGGTTGTTGTTGCCGAGTGATGGTGGTGGTTGTTGTTGCCGAGTGATGGTGGTGGTTGTTGTTGCCGAGTGATGGTGGTGGTTGTTGTTGCCGAGTGATGGTGGTGGTTGTTGTTGCCGAGTGATGGTGGTGGTTGTTGTTGCCGAGTGATGGTGGTGGTTGTTGTTGCCGAGTGATGGTGGTGGTTGTTGTTGCCGAGTGATGGTGGTGGTTGTTGTTGCCGAGTGATGGTGGTGGTTGTTGTTGCCGAGTGATGGTGGTGGTTGTTGTTGCCGAGTGATGGTGGTGGTTGTTGTTGCCGAGTGATGGTGGTGGTTGTTGTTGCCGAGTGATGGTGGTGGTTGTTGTTGCCGAGTGATGGTGGTGGTTGTTGTTGCCGAGTGATGGTGGTGGTTGTTGTTGCTGAGTGATGGTGGTGGTTGTTGTTGCTGAGTGATGGTGGTGGTTGTTGTTGCTGAGTGATGGTGGTGGTTGTTGTTGCTGAGTGATGGTGGTGGTTGTTGTTGCCGAGTGATGGTGGTGGTTGTTGTTGCCGAGTGATGGTGGTGGTTGTTGTTGCCGAGTGATGGTGGTGGTTGTTGTTGCCGAGTGATGGTGGTGGTTGTTGTTGCCGAGTGATGGTGGTGGTTGTTGTTGCCGAGTGATGGTGGTGGTTGTTGTTGCCGAGTGATGGTGGTGGTTGTTGTTGCTGGGTGATGGTGGTGGTTGTTGTTGCTGAGTGATGGTGGTGGTTGTTGTTGTTGAGTGATGGTGGTGGTGGTTGTTGTTGAGTGATGGTGGTGGTTGTTGTTGTTGAGTGATGGTGGTGGTTGTTGTTGTTGAGTGATGGTGGTGGTTGTTGTTGTTGAGTGATGGTGGTGGTTGTTGTTGTTGAGTGATGGTGGTGGTTGTTGTTGTTGAGTGATGGTGGTGGTTGTTGTTGTTGAGTGATGGTGGTGGTTGTTGTTGTTGAGTGATGGTGGTGGTTGTTGTTGTTGAGTGATGGTGGTGGTTGTTGTTGTTGAGTGATGGTGGTGGTTGTTGTTGTTGAGTGATGGTGGTGGTTGTTGTTGTTGAGTGATGGTGGTGGTTGTTGTTGTTGAGTGATGGTGGTGGTTGTTGTTGTTGAGTGATGGTGGTGGTTGTTGTTGTTGAGTGATGGTGGTGGTTGTTGTTGTTGAGTGATGGTGGTGGTTGTTGTTGTTGAGTGATGGTGGTGGTTGTTGTTGTTGTTGAGTGATGGTGGTGGTTGTTGTTGTTGAGTGATGGTGGTGGTTGTTGTTGTTGAGTGATGGTGGTGGTTGTTGTTGTTGAGTGATGGTGGTGGTTGTTGTTGTTGAGTGATGGTGGTGGTTGTTGTTGTTGAGTGATGGTGGTTTGTTGTTGTTGAGTGATGGTGGTTGTTGTTGTTGAGTGATGGTGTAGTGTGTTGTGTGATGGTGGTGGTTGTTGTTGTTGAGTGATGGTGGTGGTTGTTGTTGTTGAGTGATGGTGGTGGTGGTTGTTGTTGTTGAGTGATGGTGGTGGTTGTTGTTGAGTGATGGTGGTGGTTGTTGTTGTTGAGTGATGGTGGTTGTTGTTGTTGTTGAGTGATGGTGGTTGTTGTTGTTGAGTGATGGTGGTTGTTGTTGTTGAGTGATGGTGGTAGTTGTTGTTGAGTGATGGTGGTGGTTGTTGTTGAGTTGTGGTGGTAGTTGTTGTTGAGTTGTGGTGGTAGTTGTTGAGTGATGGTGGTGGTTGTTGTTGAGTGATGGTGGTTGTTGTTGTTGAGTGATGGTGGTTGTTGTTGAGTGGTGGTGGTTGTTGTTGAGTGGTGGTGGTTGTTGTTGAGTGGTGGTTGTTGTTGAGTGGTGATGGTGGTTGTTGTTGGGTGGTGGTTGTTGTTGTTGAGTGGTGATGGTGGTTGTTGTTGTAGTGATGGTGGTTGTGGTTGTTGAGTGATGGTGGTTGTTGTTGAGTGATGGTTGTTGTTGAGTGATGGTGGTTGTTGTTGAGTAATGGTGGTTGTTGTTGAGTGATGGTGGTTTGTTGTTGTAGTGATGGTTGTTGTTGTTGTTGAGTGATGGTGGTGGTAGCGGCCAGCGCGGTTTCCAAGTTCGATTCCCGCTCACGGTCACCAACCCCAGTGACGATGACCTGAACCAGTCCTGGGCCTCCCCTCAGGTGGACTCAGCCTCAAATGAGCCCCTGGTGCGGCGTCTACACAGCGCCACTGAGGGAGACAAAGGCGGCCGGGCATTGTGCCGGCCACCCACCCCCCTTCGTGTGCCACAGTGCCACCCACCCCCCTTCGTGTGCCACAGTCCCACCCACCCCCCTTCGTGTGCCACAGTGCCACCCACCCCCCTTCGTGTGCCACAGTGCCACCCACCCCCCTTCGTGTGCCACAGTGCCACCCACCCCCCTTCGTGTGCCAGTGCCACCCACCCCCCTTCGTGTGCCACAGTGCCACCCAGCCCCTTTCGTGTGCCACAGTGCCACCCACCCCCCTTCGTGTGCCACAGTGCCACCCACCCCCCTTCGTGTGCCACAGTGCCACCCACCCCCCTTCGTGTGCCACAGTGCCACCCACCCCCCTTCGTGTGCCACAGTGCCACCCACCCCCCTTCGTGTGCCACAGTGCCACCCACCCCCCTTCGTGTGCCACAGTGCCGGCCTTCGTCGGTGTTGCTGGCGAGCAGCACCTGCCCAGACAGTCTTGCCAAGTCTACACGGAGGGATGTGTGGTGGGTGTTATGGTGGTGGTTGTGGTGGTGGTTGTTGAGTGGTGGTGGTTGTTGTTGTTGAGTGGTGATGGTTGTTGTTGCGGTGGTGGTTGTTGTTGTTGAGTGGTGATGGTTGTTGTTGCGGTGGTGGTTGTTGAGTGGTGATGGTTGTTGTTGCGGTGGTGGTTGTTGAGTGGTGATGGTTGTTGTTGCGGTGGTGGTTGTTGAGTGGTGATGGTTGTTGTGGTGGTTGTTGAGTGGTGATGGTTGTTGTGGTGGTTGTTGAGTGGTGATGGTTGTTGTGGTGGTTGTTGAGTGGTGATGGTTGTTGTGGTGGTTGTTGAGTGGTGATGGTTGTTGTGGTGGTTGTTGAGTGGTGATGGTTGTTGTGGTGGTTGTTGAGTGGTGATGGTTGTTGTGGTGGTGGTTGTTGTGGTGGTGGTTGTTGTGGTGGTGGTTGTTGAGTGGTGGTGGTTGTGGTTGAGTGGTGGTGGTAGTTGTGGGGGTGGTGGTGGTGTTTGTGGTGATGATTGTGTGGCACTCGCCTTCTCGCTTCCCCGCGGCCCATGCGCGCATCTTCACCCGCGCCTGCCTCTGGCAGGGCTGCCCCGCCAGGCTCACCAACTCCCGCTCGTTGTAACGCATCGACCCCCACCACCTCCCGTCTCCCCCCACCACCCCCAGCAGCCGCTCGGTCTCTCTGGGTCTCTGGGGATCAAATTCGCTGCCCACCGCGCCCCAGGTCCAGCTTCCGTCCGCACTGCGCGAGGTCCTCGCTCGCTCCTCTCGCCTTATATAGGGCGCCCTCACCACGTAGACATGACGTCATCACGTAGACCACCTCCGCCTCGCTTGAATGATGTCATCGCGCCAGGTTTGCTCCGGGCAACGTCACCATGCAAACAAGATTTAACTACACTTATTTGACCAATCTTATTTATTATTTGACAGACAACTATTACAGGTTTACCATGTTCACCATGTTTAGTTGTCACAAACCATAACAAAGGCTCACCCTCTTAAGCCTCACCCTACCATATGAATAAAAAGTGTGCTGTACTTGGCCCTTACCCCCCCCCTTCTCCAACCATTATATAAACGGAGTGGTAGCTCCTGCAATCTCTCATCTACTTGATGCAGCTGTCGTGGCTGCGACGGTTCCACCTGAAGACGGAAGCTTGTGTTGCCTCCGAAACGTCGTGATTTTTATTTTACTTTTATTAATTTTAATGTTTTTACCTACGTGACTTTACCGAAAAAACCTAAGAATAACAACGTCATCAAGTTGGCAACGGCAGCCAAAGCACTCCGCGCTGACTTCTTCGCGTCTAAATCCGCCTTTGTGGTGACGTCATGTCGTCAGGTCATATCCAAACGTCATCGCGTTAGGCGACCCATGCCATTGCGTCATGACGTCAGACAAGTTCGTTGTGGAGGTCCCCGCGTTGAACGCTGCCGAGGCGTTGCCGTGACGTCATTATCAAGTGATGACGGCCTGTTTGGTGCCGTGAGTGACGTCACGTGGTTGTGGCCACTCCGTGATTGGCGCTGACGAAATGACGCGAGTGACGTCATCGCATCAAATCGCATAAAAAGGCGCGAAAGTGTTTAAAGTCAATAAACGAGTAAAACATTGGGGACCTTCGCGAGAAAACTTCACTATTACCAGCAAAATGTTGGCTTAAAGCTTTCGTGACTGCAGGAATTCATATTCTTTGGGTCTTTCGGTAAAGTCACGTAGATAGGTTCACATTAATAAAATCAAATAAACGAAAAACGACGACGTTTCGATCACAACACAAGAGGGGAAAAGCTGATGGGACAGACTTTCTTAAAGGTTTACAATAAGTTAGCGTGTTAATGTGAGAAGTTAGCGTGTTAATGTGAGAAGTTAGCGTGTTAATGTGAGAAGTTAATGTGAGAAGTTAGCGTGTTAATGTGAGAAGTTAGGTCGGCTGTGTTGGTGTGAGACATTTGACCTGTTAATGTAAAATCGGACAGCCGAAGGGACGGGGAAAATAACAACTAACATCGGAAGGTGAGAGACAGGATGGGAACATCACAGCCAGACACACGGACGTGACTTTACCGAAACACCCAAAGGGTATGACCAGCAGGTTACCTCAGTTATTGAAAAGTCTTCACGTATTTACACGGCGGGATGAGATGTCCCCAGACGTCGTGGGACAACTCGAAACATTCCCTCAAGAACCTTGCACATGGCAGGTGTTTGCATAATGGGTATTTGCCACGACCGTGCTTGCCCGAGACACTGACAGAGCAGAGACACGGGGACAGACCTCTGTGTGTCTCTCCTCACAGACGACGATGCCCTGGGCGAGTGGACTCCACGTCCCCCTCGTGGTGGCTCGGAGATGTTGACTACCTCGCCGGGTGCACAGGGTGCGATCCCGACCCTGACGCCTGCTGGGAATGTGGAGATTGCGTCCACTTGTAGAAACCTGCTCTTAGAGAATGCAGCTGGTGTGAATTATCTGATAAAATAAAATAAAACTTAAATCTTAATTTTGGAGCTTTCGTGACTGCAGGAATTATTCTTTAGTAAAGTCACGTATAAAGATAAAATAATAAATAAAAGAGCATACTATATTATTTAATTTATTATTTTATCTTTATACATGACTTTACCGAAAAAACCAAAGAATAAAATAAAACTTAGTTTAATAGGTCACCACTGTGGCTGGAATCACGTTCCCGAGGCACACGCTCTTAAATATCAAGGTCCATTATAAACCAAACATGATGACCGCAGATTTAAAATACACGATATATAACATAATTAGCATGATTGTGGAGAATAAGTAACACAGCAAAGTGCCTCCTTCACATCATGTCGACATCAAACCTGTCAACCCAGTGCCCTACCTGCTACACACCAATTCAGACCTTATTGGTCACCCCGTGCCCTTAAACATCTCAACGTTCATCCTACAGTCTCATTACAAGTGAGAAACAAATAGATTTTAAAAAACATGTCTTTGCCCAGAGTGAAACGGCTTTACGCCGTATGGACCTGATCTCCCTAGACGACGATACGGCTAAACCGTATAGGTTGCAGGCAAGTCTACACCAACTACATACTGTGTAAGTAATGTTTACACAACCCATCGGCCCCACGGCCTTCTGGGAGTGCATCATTTCAGCAAAAGACAATCAAAACTGTGCAGCGGTTTTGACCTGCAGTGTCTCATCAGCAGTCAGGCTTAGCAGAAACCAACGCTGAACTACCAGACAAAGGGAGCCTCCCTGTTAGAGATGGACAGGGTCGCTCCAATGCCACGGATTATACTGGTCTCGCCCTTGTTGTTGAGGCAGCTGCTCTTCTGGGAAATACGCAAGTCGCCACGAGACACTCGAGTAATAACATTATTAGTAATACCGACCGAGACGAAGAATGTAAAACGAGTTCTCTAGTGTTACGAAAGGTTGAGATGGACAGTAGTTATTCCCATTACATACAGCAGGTGGCAACCCGCATGTCTCCGTGATACCGCGTTGGCAGCGGTGTACAAGCACAACAACAACTCGACACATTCACCAATAACAATGCCTCGAGTAAAACGAGGTGACGTTTCGGGCAATGGCCCTCATTCACAGCACATCGAGAGGCCAGAAGTATACATTGGATTGTATACTTCTGGCCACAGAAGATACCCGGGTGGAGCCGTCTCACGGTGGTCACGGCGATGCGCCGCGACCCGCGGCCACCCAAGTTGGATTCCAGGCCACGGCTCACATCGGTGGCCGGCGTGGTGAGGTGCGTCTCAAACAGCTGCCGTGACCAACACGGACGGGCACGGGAAGTGGCGACATCCAACAGTGGACTGGCAAAGAGCTGAACATGCTCACGACTCACTCGTGGAGCCAATCAGATTAAATGTTCCAATGCAGCACACTCCTGAAAACGAGTTGAGGTTTGGCAAGACATCCCACGGCACATATCGACTCTAAAATCTGAATTTGAGGCCACACTCACATTTCTTGCATTTATTTCTGGGGGGGGGGGGTAACATATTCGTTAATAAATTAAAAAATTTAGTGTAAATAAAACAATCGACGAATGAATGAGAAAATACACACTTTCCATGAAGCAATAACATTTAATTTTGGCTATATGTAGTAACATTGCTTTGTACAAGCCCAGTCTCTTGGGTAATAACTCAGAACGCCAAACGTACCACAGAGACACTCACAATACACTTGAGGATACTTTTATAAACGCAACTAAACACCAAACAACGACACGTAGTGATAGCTCCTGGCCGCTATGGCCCAACGGCCGCAGGTGAAGGCTGCAAGTTCAAATCCCGGTCGGGTGCGACCCAAATATCATCCCTCACAGGGTCAACGGAATTAAGACTCCACATATTTGGCAGGAAGTCAACCAGTGGCCACGCTACGGATGAACTGAACCCCCCCCCCTACCTCGTCATAAGATTAACACGGTGGGCTACATACGGTGCGAAAGAAGTTCAACATTCATACAATTCACACCACTGGCTCAGCACCGCAAAAAACAGCCGAGGACATGAAATTACTGCAATAACCCTGCCCGTCCGAGACGTTGCGATGTTATAACGTGAACAGCAGTGATGGCTCACAGCACGCGATACCTTCAAGCGACACCCACCACAGCTGAGACCAAAGCCCCACTTGTGCAGGGCCGACGCTGCGTATATCTGGTGCCACACAGGTACCGCTGCCGCTAGGAGGTGAGGAGGGTGATCTGCCTGGCACACTGAAGCGGGGCATTGGAGCCGTTGCGATGACACGCAATGCAACGTGCTGCCAGGTTTGCCGAGACATCGAATGGTGAGCGAAATGGTGGAGGCCGGGGTAGCATTTCCTACACCACCATCCACCCTGCCAGGGTCCTCTCTCCACGCAAAGCCAAGCTGGGTTTCAAGCTGGCCGCAGTGTGCGTGTGTGAGCTAAGAAGAGCAACGGATCCCCGATGCATTACACCCAAGGGCACACCCGTCGTTTGAGTAACAAGCGATCATCCCACGACGTGTATTTCATGTCAGGGTCCAAGCCCAAAATCACAAACGTGAAACAATGGCTTGAACTACACAATTTCCCTTTGCATTCACTCTTTTGCACACAGAGTATGCATGTGCGGTAGTGTCCGCGGGCTGGCCGAGACAGAACCACCGGGCCTCACGACAACCACATCCAAGCCTGACTCGGGGGCTAATGGCGGCGTTCATTGCGTGCAACGCCAACGAGTACCCCGCGGGGACACGGTGGCGTCACCGGGTCCCCTGCCGCACGCAATTTCACCCGTTTCTCGTGCGTGACATCAGCGGCACGGCTTGGCTTCTGCAGTGGAAAAACGACTCGGTGCCTGCTGAGCCGGCCCGGCACGGCACTGGCACGGCACTGGCACGGCTCAGTTTGTGCAATAATACTCAGAAAGGTGGGGCCGGGGCATCCACAAGCCGTCTACTTTACCCGGCCGGCGCACGATCCCCACCAACTCTCCATCGCTCCACTCCGAGCCCCGTGTGGCCAGTGCCGTGTTCACTTTGTGCCTGGGGGGGGGGGGGCAGCTCCCACCGAGGGGCTCCCCCTGCCGCAGGCCACCCCTGAGACGGATTGCATGGGAGGTGCGGTGTCAATATTAAACGACGATGACGATGATACTGAGCCAGACCCCTCGCCACACCCCCACCTTGCTGGCACTTCCTCTGGGTCCAACATCAGCAGCCCTGGCTCAATCTCTTCCTCCTGGAGCTGAGCGTTTATCGGGCCAGTCGGCGGGGATGGCACGGAAACGTTCACACCGGCCGCCTCCAAGCAACGTAGGCAATGGCACGATGGCCCCAGTGCATCGTGGGTCACCGGGTAGAGCTCTGCAGGCGAACCCCCATCTCCGACGCGGCTGTCGCAGACGAGACTATTGCGTTGCGTCTCCACGCGTTTCCCTGCGTTCTTCCGTGTCTTGCCGCGGGTCTCTGCGTGTCGCGCATCTCGTGAAGTTCTGTGACCGCGGGCGATGATGTCCCTGAGCGACTCTTTCAAGGTGACCTATAACCTCAGAGGTCGGCTGTGTTAGCCAGTGTGAGGTATCACTGTGCGCTGTATTGTTACCATGGTGTCGATTTCGCCGTGTCAGTATGAGATATCACTGTGTTAATGTGTCAGTCTCACGGTGTCACCGCGTCGGTGTCACTGCGTCAGTTTCAGTGTGAGATATCACTGTGTCAGTGTGAGATATCACTGTGTCAGTGCGTCGCCGTCCCTGTCGGTGTCGCCGTGTCAGTAGGAGGCGTCGCTCTGTCAGTGTTTGGGGTCAATGTGTCACTCTGTCATTGTGTCAGTGTGTCACTGTGTCAGTGTCACTGTGTCACTGTGTCACTGTGTCGGTGTCACCGTGTCAGTAGGAGGCGTCGTTGTGGTAGTGTTTCGGTGTCAATGTGTCACTGTGTCACTGTGTCACTGTGTCGGTGTCACCGTGTCAGTAGGAGGCGTCGTTGTGGAAGTGTTTCGGTGTCAATGTGTCACTGTGTCAGTGTGTCACTGTGTCACTGTGTCGGTGTCGCCGCGTCAGTAGGAGGCGTCGTTGTGGAAGTGGTGGCTCTGCAGAGCCTTGACGTGGAACTCGTAGATCTTGAGCGCGGGCCCCAGCTTGATGGAGAGGCCCGTGAGGACGTCGCTCCTCTTCATGAGCAGCAGCGACTTCCCATCGATCTCCTACACGGCACGACCACAACATGAACCCGAGCCACAGCCCTGACTCCAACCCTTACCCCGTCTTATTCTTTGGTTCTTTTGGTAAAGTCACGTAGATAGAAAAATAATAATAAAGTGAATAAAATTAATAAAATTAAAAACCACGACTTTTCGATCGCAACACAAGCGGTCGTCATCAGGAAAAGGGGGTTAGCCTCTAAAGGAAAACTGTTTATGAAGGTTTAAAATGGTTGTAGCCCAAGTGTCAGCAGCATGGGCGGGGCAGCTGATGTTAATACAAGTGATGGTCATAGTGGGCAACGATGGCGCTGGAGGTGGGTTTCCACCAATTAAAGGGCTGCCAGGTAAAGGGCTTCCACCAATGAAGGGCTACTGCTAGTGGTGATGGTAGTAGTGGGCAGTGATGGTCCTGGTGGTGGGCTTCCATTACCCACTACTACCATCACCTCTAGCAGCAACCTCGGCCGTCAACAGTGTGCGTGTGTAGAGCGAGGTGCATTGATTACCTGGCAGCCCTTTAATTGGTGGAAACCCACCTCCAGCGCCGTCGTTGCCCACTCCGACCATCACTTGCATTAACATCAGCTGCCCCGCCCATGCTGCTGACACTTGGGCTATGCCCATTTTAAACCTTTACAAACATCCATAATGTAAACAGTTTGCCTTTAGAGGCTAACCCCCTATTCCTGATAACGACCGCTTGTGTTGCGATCGAAACGTCGTGGTTTTTATTATTTTTATTATTCACTTTATGATTTTTCTATCGACGTGACTTTTCCGAAAGAAGCAAAGATTATTAATTCCTGCAGTCACGGAAGTTAAGTCCTAACCTTACCCTGTCTCTTAACCAAAACCCTACCCCGAGCCCTAAACCCCAACTCTTATCATGACAATAACCATAACTCTCACCACCAGAGACACAGCCCTGACACTAACCCTTACCCTGTAGTGTGCTGCTATATATTTCCACGTGATAAGCCACTTAATTGGGCTATCATTGGTGGCCAGGTCGCTTCTGAAAAATGGCCATATAGCCCAGTGGGCTTTACCTGGTAAAAATACAAAGTTTCGTTTTAGTTTAACAACATCAACCTCAGTGATAGGACTTGACTGGAACCCTTACCCTGACTCTAACAAAAACATTGACGCTTACCCTACGCTCAACACAGGTTCTGGTGGTTGCCATGGTTGCAGTAGTTGCCATGGTTGCTGTGGCTATGAAGGTTGCTATGGTTGTGGTGGTTGCGGTGGTTGCCGTGGTTGCCGTGGTTGCCGTGGCTGCGTTCCCACCTGCTCCTGGAAGGCGCGCGCCTCCTCCTCAAATCCGGCGGTGCGGAAGTAGCTCACGACGTCGGCGATCGACCAATCAGCTGGCTCCAGCAGCTTCAGCCCCTCGGCGCTGCACGCACAAAGACAACGATCATCCCACTCCCCTAGCTCTCGCCAGACTGTTGGGGCAAGGGCTGTTAGCGAACACCTATTAAGGCCGGTGCGGTCCATGGGGGGAGATGGTGTGGCCAGCACCACACCTGGCTGCCTTTGTCTTCCCCAGTGCTGGTATGTACAAAATGCACCAGGCATCGATTTGAGGCTGAGTCCACCGTGAGGAGGCCCAGATATTTGTCACCAATGTTAGAACTCGAGTGGCCGGGATCGTAGTGCGGTGCGCTAACCATTGTGCCACTGCTCCCCTTTTTTTGTAGCGAGCGATAAAGACATCTGCGCACAAAGTAAAAAATCATCCATGTCGCCCATCGTGGTGACATGTGGCATAGTAGTGGTGTGTTGTGGGTATATAGTGATGTGACGTGGGTCATGTAGCCTGCATGCCCAGCCACCGCGTACCCAAACAGCTTTTGTACAGCTGGATAGAGGGGGCTAAACGGGCGCGGTACATGGTTGGAGAAGAGATGGAATGATGTGGTATGAGAGGACATGGAGTTGAGTGGATTTGCTAATGACTTGGTACCAGCAGTGTCAAGATTGGCCTCTGTCGAGTAGGCTCGTGAAGGACATAACTGGGCAGTTGAAGGCAGACGGCGAACGGTGCTAACAACAACGAGCAGAATGCCGGGCGGCTAAAACACAGCGAGTTGGCACAGTAGGGAGCACAGGTGGTGCATCTGCAAGTCATATCAGTTAACCCATGGCACCTATACCCCGTGACCTGCCAGCAGGAAGTCTTCGATACGTCACGTGGCCTCGGAGTGCACCTGGCCTGGCACAAGCGCCGTGGTGACGTCACCACCACTTGGTGGCGAATGGCGGCTGTTGTTGTTGGTGTGGTATGGTGCTGGTGTGGTTTAGTGGTGTGGTGCGGTGATAGTGGTGGTGCGGGGTACCCGTTGTGGTGTGGCGGACTCCGTTCGGCGTCTCCCTGGCTCGCCGGGGATGGGGACGCGGATGGAGTCGGCAAACACGAAGCCCCGCGCACCTCAGGAACTACACAAAGACAAAGGTCCCCCAGGTAGGTATTGACGGCATGTTGGGGTAAGTGCTGCTCGCGAGCACCCATTGTTGGCATGGAGCCACAAGGGGAAGAGGGGGGTGTGTCCAGAAGCCTGGCCTGGCCATCTTCATCTCTTTAGTGCCGTATGATTTACACTGCATCAGGTACTCAGTTCAGGGTGCATGGACCTGGGCGGAGAGGCAAAACCAGTTCAGATATCAGTCGCCACTCACGTTGACCATGGCCGTGAGTTGAACTCGGGAAAGTGTATTACCCACCATGCCGCTGCCCCACAGACAAAGATCTCCTGTATAGCCTTAACAGACTGGTAGGGCAAGTGCAGTTAGCGAAGCACCTATGCAGGCCGGCACGGCGCACGAGGGTGGGCTGCGCATGGCGTGGCTGGGCATGCGGGCTACTATGGTTTACAAAACGACAACCGCATTATCGATTACCGGTTACAGCCTTTAACCGTGGAATGTGTAGATTGAACGCACAAATCGGCATGTGCGGATGTGCGAAACCGCACTGTGTGATTGGCCAGTGGCAGTTGTCTTCCAGCCGCCGCACCTACGGTGGCCTCACCAAGTCCCCGCGTTTTGCGTCCCTTTCTCAAGTCAGGTAAAGGGTATAAAGGTAAAGGTGCAATCCTGAAATGCTTGCTTGCTGGCAGGAGGGCCTCTGCACAGAGGGCGCTCTGGAGGCTATCAGCGCTACTCTTCCACGATGATCGGTTGGAAGGGGCGCCACGGTGGCAAGATGTTAACAACCTCGCCTGGTCTGCAGGAGGTCGTCGGTTAGATTCCCAACCTGACGCCTGCTGCTGTATATTTGCATGTCTCTCTCCCCGTGGTCGTGTGGATTTTTTTCCGGGTCCTCTGGTTTTTCCCTCCACATTCAAAATGAACATGCATTTATTAAAGTATATGGCTGCGATACATTTCCACATCATAAGCCACTTTGATCGGCTTATCATTTGTAGTCAGGTTGCTTCTGAAAGAGAGCTACTCTATAGCTCAGTGGGCTCTACCTGGTAAAATAAAAAGTTTAGTTTAGTTTACCTGCCGCTGCTGGGTGGAAAAGCTCAGGCAGGGGACATTAAAGGAAACTTGCCCTACGTTAGTTAAACCCCCGCAGCGGAAGATGGAACCAAACAAGTCCAGAGCGCCGACCCTGACACCAGCCACTGTGGCAGCTGCCGGTGTTTCTCGGTAATAAAAAAAGGTGAACAGGTTTTACAGCTGTTTACCATTCGGTTACCGGTTCTGCGAAGGAAAAACATTGTAACAGCTACGTGACCCGGCCAACGCATCCTTGCCTTGTTTGTGGTAGATGGTATGGTGCACTTCTTAGTGTGTGTGGCTTACAGTGTGTGGTGTGGTGTGCACAGTATATGTTGTGATGTGTAAGATATGGCGTGGTATGTGGTGGATGGGGTGGAGTGATCGGTGTATTGCGTGGTTTATGGTTCAGGCATTATTCACGTGTAGCATTGTGTGGGGAGTGTGCGTGGTGTGTGGTACACGGTGATGTGTACGTGTGGTACCACGTGGTGTGTGGTACACGGTAGTGTGTACGTGTGCTACCACGTGGTTTGTACGTGTGGTACACGGTAATGTGTACGTGTGGTACCACGTGGTGTGTACGTGTGGTTTGTACGTGTGGTACACGGTAATGTGTACGTGTGGTACCACGTGGTGTGTGGTACACGGTGATGTGTACGTGTGGTACCACGTGGTGTGTACGTGTGGTGTGTACGTGTGGTACACGGTGATGTGTACGTGTGGTACCGCGTGGTGTGTGGTACACGGTGATGTGTTCGTGTGGCACCACGTGGTGTGTATGTGTGGTACACGGTGATGTGTACGTGTGGTACCGCGTGGTGTGTGGTACACGGTGATGTGTACGTGTGGTACCACGTGGTGTGTGGTACACGGTGATGTGTACGTGTGGTACCACGTGGTGTGTGATACACGGTGATGTGTACGTGTGGTACCACGTGGGGTGTGGTACACGGTAGTGTGTACGTGTGGTACCACGTGGTACGTGTCTGGAGTGGCGCCGCACCTTCGGCCGTGTGCTCGGTGTCTTCGCGTGGTGTGGCCGGGGCTGGTGGGGGTGACGGCTTTCCCGACGACAGCATGCTGCTCTCCTCACACCTCGTGCACACCCACTCGCCTGCAACAAGTACAAAAGTGACAAGGTGTTTACACACCCCACCAGGTACTCGTTTAAGGCCGAGTGGACCTAGGGGAGGCCCGGGACTGGTTCAGATAATCGCCGCTGGTGTTGACCGTGAGCGGGAATCGAACTTGCGCGAGATAACAAATAAACGATCGCTCCCCACGCCGTGCTTACCCGTACACACACACACACACGGTGTGCATCTCACAAATACACGCGCGTCTTGTGCATGCCATGGCCAACCACACTTCACCGCTACCCACTGCCTCACGCTCACACGCAAACCCCGCGTGTCCACTCAAGTACTGCGGAACTCTCAGCTTCACAGACACACACACACACAGACACACACACACACAGACACACACAGACACACACTGTGCTCCACGGCACACACACACACACTGTGCTCCACGACACACACACACTGTGCCCCACGACACACACACACACACTGTGCTCCACGGCACACACACACGCACCGTGCCCCACACACACACACACAGACACTGTGCTCCACGGCACACACGCAGCATGCTCGCCGCGTTCCCCACAGACGTCGTACCAAGCTGTTGACCACACAATCTTTATCTGGCCAATCACAGCTGGGCCAAACAACGTGCACTCGGTCAATCCAATCGCGGCATGTCTTTTGAAAGACCTGGTTAAGCTAACAAACTGGCCTCACCAATCGTAGCACATCTTACAATGCACATGGCTAAACAATCTTAAACTGCACCTAACTTTGTTCCATTACTTCTAAAAATGTCCTTGGTTCGTCTCCCATGTACATCACAATTTGATGCTAAATTGTATGTTTTTCATAACTTCACTTGCAATTGCATGAGACATCATATATCCTTGTCTGTTTACACACGAGTACAGGAATAATTACCAGACCAATGGGTTCACACTTTACGAAACTCGACTTTGCAGAATCAACTCGGCCAATGAGAGCACGCGTGACTAAACACCGATACAACTTCTATCCACCCATTGACTACACACGAGGCTCACCAAGCCCATCACATACAACACACCTTAATAAACACCATGAGAACAAGCTTCACCTCGGCACAAACAACAGCAACGTTTACCAGGCTAACGAGACCACAGACGCCACCAACGACCGCAGCGTCTGTGCCTCCTCGGACGTTCTCACCGATCAACGCTGCCACGGCATCACCCCGCGATGATCCCAGTCCACACCACCGCCAATGCTCGACCGCCAGGTAGCCAGCCAGACCTCCAATCAATCCAGACAGCCTGTCAGCCAGCCAGTTGGCCCGCCAGCCAAAGCCGGGCCACCGATCAGCCAACCAAGCTGCCTCTCAGCCAGGCCACCAGTCAGC